GACAGGGACAACATCTCTTTGCTCTCCAGTGGTTGGCAGTGTTAAGTATACATCATGAATTCAGAATTATTGGATAAATGATGAAAAGTAATTTACCAATATCACCAAATTTTTTGTCGTCTTTATTATTGCTTTCTACATATTTTCTTGCATCAAACCACCCGAGAATTTTGTATAATTCTCCACAGGAACAAAAAGTGGCATAGAAAGATGAGGGCAGACAATTTCTGTCAAAACCTAGACACTCAAGATAGTATTTAGTTTGGCAACCAAACTATCTCGCAGAAGTAAATTATAAAAATCTCATTTCTGAGATTTTAAAAGTGAAACAGTACATTACAATCCTGGTTTTTAAAAAAGTGAATTAAACTGATAATTTACAGTTTTATATTTTTATAGAATACCTTTATATTTGTTACACAAATACAAAACTTGTTATTTAAATAGTAACTGCTAACATGGACATAAGTTACTATGTCTGACAATGGTGTTCTGTAAACAAGAGATGAACAGTCTTTGTCAAGAATAATTGTGTGCATTTTTGTTATCTGCATTTTCAGTTTTTAACATTATAAAAAAGAATCAGTAATATGCAACAATTTCTTACTTCTCTAAGCATTGCTATTATTCTCCTCTGGAAAGTATATTCAAATTAGAATTTTTAAAATTGTTCTTAAGATGATAGGCTATGATATTTTTTCCCTTTAAGATTAATAATCACATGATTCAGGAAGTTAAATTCACTATTAAGTGAATATTAAGTTCCCTTACCTTTCATCAATATTTGTTGTAAGGTAAATTAAATTAAGTATCAGTCTCCTTGTCTCTTGATCTTTCACATCCTCTTCTATACACCACAAACAATCTCCAATACCTGTGTTGCTTTTAAAATACATCTATGAAACTTTGATACTCATCCCTTCAAGGGGTGCAACTTAATTTCTTGCCCCACTATTTAGTGACTTGCTTCTAATGAACAAAATTAAGTGGAAGTGAAGGAATGTGACTTTGAGACTAAGTCACAGAGGGCACATTTCTCTCAGATCCCTTACTTCGAGTGAAGTTAGCTGTCAGTTCGGGCAGACAGGCTCATGTGGAAAGGTCTCTGGCCAACAGTCATGTGAGTGACCCATCTTGGAAGTGGATCCTCCAATCAGTTAAGCCTTCGGATGACTGCAGTCCTTGTCTACATCCTGACTTCAACATAAGAGACCCTGAGTCAGGGCCACCCAGGTAAGTCACTCCAGAATTTCTGACCCACAGAAACTCAGATAAATTTGTTGTTTTAAGCCCTAAGTTTTGGGTAAGTCTGGAATAATATGAGAGATAATATAAAAGACTGTGCAAATTACTGTGGTGTACAAAAGACAAAACTAAAGTTTTCCATTAAACTGAGTATTTCCTTCCCTACTGTCTCAAGCAGAGCACTAAGGGTCATCTAATGATAGAGGCTTTGTCTTTACCTCTTTCTGTCCCTTTAGAAGTCAAAGGATTTTTGCAAGCTTTTTGTGTAGGAATAACATGAATACAGATTGAACTATAAATTTCATGTCTCCTAAGTAAAATTTTCTAAAAGCGCCTCTTTCCCCTTCAAATATCCCTCTTTCCTCTACTTTATGTCTCTCTTTCCAAGGCAGCCAGAATGGCTATTTGCTAAAATGTCCACCTTTCCTTTCTCAAACATCCTGACAAAACAAAATCCTCAACAAAACAAGTAGTCTAAAGAAAACAAATTCTCAAACCACCCACCAAACAGAAGGAGGAAAGGACTGTGGGTGGCTCATAGTGGCTTCCTTCTGTTACTGGTTCAAAGCATTTCTATTAACTTACTAATTCATTATAGAAGCTAGGCCAATTGACTGGGAATGTGATTTCTAGAAACAGATTAGTTTTGCAGAAGACCAACAATATTAAAGTATACTAAAAATATACTAAAAATAGAATAAAAAATAAAAAATAGAATAAAAAAGATCACCTTAACCATTTCTCTATAATGCCTTCTAGTTCTCATCCATGTGAGATGCAACCAACCAACATGGATTTTTTCCATTGTGGAAGAAGCTTGAATATATCTACTCATTCAGAGTTCTTTAGGAAAGGTTTCACCCCTATTAGCTAAAGGTGAATTATAACTCACTAAGTATAGACCAACACATAGGCCAGTGGAACATATTTTAATTTCCATTGCTTGATGGCCAGTATTTTTTCTAACATAGGCCTAATTTTTTACACTAAGCATACAGACAACTCTCAAATATTCAATACATCTAATATATCCATTCTTTTAGAATGTATTTTCTCTTTTCTTTAATCCCTTATACGTTTAGTGCTCATTAGCACTTTGGCTAGAGATATATAAAAGAAGAGGAAGCTGAAATACAAGACAGTTAATTTTAATTTTTATTAAATGGTTACAAAGAAAATTGAGTTGATGAGCTATTCAAAGTATAAAAATGTGGCTATAATATAAATCGTTCCCCTATTAGTAAAGATAATTAAGAGAACTCACTGAAGTTAGATTTATTCCTTATTTGGAGCTTTTCCTCTTACCATCTGCCCAAAACTATAGTTACAATCGATGTAATATTATTAATTCTTTGCACACAGACTATCTCTGAAATGATTTCTGTTACTTAAACTTAATTTCATCCCAGGTATCCAGATATATATTTCACAGATAAAATAATTAGCCTACAGAATTTAAACAAATATAATTTTTAAAGAGATTTCTGTTGAAGGTCTGCTGTTGATACTTGACTGAAAATAAACTCTAATACTTTCATAAATAACAAATTATCCAAATTAAAAAAAAAAACTATTACTATATCTTACAGCTTTTCACATCATCCCTTTTGTTCTAACCAAAGTTTTATTTTCAAAACTACCTTCTACATAGTTTAAACTGGAGATGTCCTATTACTTTCAAAGGAACGCTATAAATTATTATTAAATTTGTGGTAAAGTAATGGCATTTGGAAGACACTGAAACAGGAAGATTAGAAATATTGTTTATTTAAGCACTAAATTTATGTCAGTATAGTAATTCAACAATAGGCCTAGTAACAAAATTGTATTCCAAAAAGTCAGAATCATTGTTTCTCAATTTCCTCTTTTGCAAAATAAACCTAGTATATTTCAATGCCATGGTTTCAGTGTTTATCAGCATTTTTAGATACATGAAAAATCGAATGGGGGTGAAGAAAACTGAATGACTCAACGAATGGTTTCAAATAAAAATATATGTAATAACGGGTACCAAGATAACTTCTTATTCTAAAACTTTTATTTATAGAGAAAAGCTCTCGAAATTGGATTTCTCAGATTTGATGTTAAATAATAAGATAGTCTTAGTTATGCAATCAGTAACTGAATAACCCTGACAAAGTGAAATCTCCTACTTTATTTAGAAGGAAAGAAATAAATACAGCACTCTTGATTTAATTGTTGTTGATGTTAAGAAATCTTATTTGTTAAGAGTTCTTATTTTATTCAAAATATGTATCATCCCACTAAAAGCCAACTCATCTCATTAAAGATATCCTTTTCAAACTTATAAAATTTCAATGACTTATGAAAACATGGAGAACAATATAATATACATATATACTACCGAGTTAACAAGTGTTAACATTTTGCATACCTGCTTAGCTCTCTTCTATTAAGAAAAAAAAAAAAAGTTGCAGATATAACTGCTGAAGCCCCATTATTCCTTTCTCAGGTATCACAGTCTCTTTTCTCCCCAATTCTGGAAGTGATCGTTTTTCTAAAGAAGATGTGTGCCCTTCCTGTCCAGGTTTTTATACTTTTATTACATATGTGCGTTTTCACAAACATTAACATTATGTTTTAAAAACTACATAAAGTATCCTAATTAGTCAGGCGTGGCAGCATGTGCCTGTAGAATTGCTTGAACCTGGGAGGCGGAGGTTGCAGTGAGCAGAGATCATGCCACTGCACTCCAGCCTGGGTGACAGAGCAAGACTTCATCTTCAAAAAAACAAAAACAAAAACAAAACAAAATAAAACCACCAACAACAAACTATATAAAGTATTCCCATTTTATCATTTTGTAATTTCCATCTTTACTCAACATTGCTACTGAAATTTAGGCAAATTAATATATATTTAGTATATTTTAATTTTTCGAAAGAGTTTCTAAAGATCAACTATTCTGTTATTGGTGGATATTTAGGTTGTTTCTAACCCATGGCATGAACGTCCTTGTATATGTCTCCTTGCGGATATGTATTATTTCTTTCTGTATTACTTCAATAAAGTTTTGCTTAAGCTAGTTGGGTGGATTTGTTTTTTTTAAACTAAGCACAGACAATTGAAGAAAAAGCTAGAAAGCTATTTTCTAATATTATTATTTACCTGATTTTAAACTTTTATTTATTTATATACACACACGCACACCCACATATATGTACATATGTATGTGGATGTGGCTTTTAATTATTTAGAGACAGGGTCTCACTCTGTTGCCCAAGCTGGAATGCAGTGTCATGATCATGGGTCACTGTAGCAGCCTTGATCTCTCAGGCCCAAGCAATCCTCCCACCTCGGCCCACTGAGTAGCTGGGACTACAGGCATGTGCCATCCTGTGTGGCTAATTTTTAAATTTTTTATACAGATAGGGGTCCCCCTATGTTGCCCAGGCTGGTCTCAAACTGTTGAGCTCAAGTGAACCTCCCTCCTTCACCTCCCAAAGTGTTTGAATTACAGGAGTGAGTCACTGTGCCCAGTCCTATTTCTTTGTTAAATCTTTTCTTTGTTGAAATGCTTGTGATGTAGAAAAAAGGTTAGTAGGAAATACAAAACCTTAGCCTTTATTTTACTTGAAAATAGTTCTTCTATTCAGAAATATTTAAGTCACATATTTATATACATGGAACTTCTGTTTGGAATTCCCGTGGTAGATCACTTCAGAAAAATAAAATGAGGAAGCTAGGTTACGCATCAGCATTTGAATGCTGCTTTCTGCAGAAGCAATGTCTACCTTTGGTAGTTTTTCCTTTGCTATTCCTGAAATCACTTTATTATGTGGCTGATCAACAGTCAAATTATTCTTCCTTGTTTCACTGTCTTCAAGCAGAGGAACACAGCCATAATTGCCATCTGCAAGACAAAAACCTCTTGGATATTAGCAGAAAACCCTTATTTTTGGTACCACCTGAAAAAGCAAAAGTAATACAAACTCAAAACCGTAAAGAGAATAGATTTTAAGGTAGGAGTTTTAGAAAATTCTTTAGGTAATAGTTGCTTTGACAAGTTGTCCATTTACATTTTTTCCTTCCCACTAAACATACAAAACCCCTGCTCTCCAAAAGTCAGCAGTATGTAAAATATACAGAATTTAGAAAACTAGAATATGCTCTTTGCCCCTGTCAGCAACAATTCAACTTTTATATAAGTCGTATTTTCAGGTATGCATTTCTTATTTAAGATAATTATTTGTATTATGACTCCATGCTTATCATAGGAAAATTAGAAAATGCAGACAGCCAAAAAGAATAAAAAGTAAATGTTACCCAAATTTTTATCACTTGTGAATTATTCCAGTTAATACTTCTGTTCCTAAACACATAAATTCACATAAGAATCACCTTTTTCTGCATAAATGAAAATAATACTTATTTACGTATCCTGCTTCGTTCATTTTGCTATATATCATCAACATATTCTTATAAGTTAATACCTATTATCACTTTTCTTGGCTACATAGCTATTCATATAGATCACTGTAACTATTGAATATTTGTTTCTAGCTTTCCATGATTAGAAATTATACTGTGATACACATCCTTGCATATATATTTTTGAGTACCTGAACAAATGTTTTCTCATGATATAGTCTTAGGACTTGAGTTTTTGGTTCAAAAGGCATAGATGTTTTCAAAAGCTTTTGCTGCTATTTACTGGCAAATTGCTTTTTAGAAAGTTTTATAAACTTAGAGTTCCACCGTACAGTATAGTATAGTATAGTATAGTATAGTATAGTATAGTATAGTATAGAATAGTATAGGTGAAAGTCCACTTTCCCATATCCTGCAAGTGTTCATTTAAATAAATGTAACATATAACTGTACCACAGTTATAATATCAAAACTACTGAGAAACAACGAAGGAATAAAACAGAAGAACTCAGCTTACACCTTTCTTTTCACCAAGAGGTTCTAGAAATACATAAAAAATTAACATGCACATACCTTGAGTGGAATTCACAAGAAGTAACTGTGATTTTAGCTTGTCAATAATAGTTTGTTGAAGTGACAGCTGTTCCTGTTGTTCACGTATTCTCTGCTCATAGTTCTCAGTCTGCTGACATAAAAACCAGTTAGCCTGATATTTACTGACAGACATGAACACATTATTTACCATCCATTAATAATATAAATAGATATGAGTTGCCCACATTGTCATTTTGCAGGTATTGTGATTTATGAGATACAAATTGGCTCCAGGAATGTACTTGTAATTGTTACAAACATCAGTGATTGAAGACACTTAAAGCACCGTAAAAGTTTTAAAGATTATCTTATTTGGCCGGGCGCGGTGGCTCATGCCTGTAGTCCCAGCACTTTGGGAGGCTGAGGTGGGTGGATCATGAGGTCAGGAGATCGAGACTATCCTGGCTAACACGGTGAAATCCCGTCCTACTAAAAATACAAAAAAAATTAGCCGGGCGTGGTCGTGGGCGCCTGTAGTCCCAGCTACTTGGGAGGCTGAGGCAGGAGAATAGCATGAACCTGGGAGGTGGAGCTTGCAGTGAGCCGAGATCGCGCCACTGTACTCCAGCCTGGTAGACTGAGCAAGACTCCGTCTCAGGGAAAAAAAAAAAAAAAAAAAAGATTATCTTATTTAAACACATATCAGTAAAGGATTCAATCTACGATTTCCTGATCCTTCAGTAAGGATCAAAACTGTAATTTAGCATTTATTCCTTAAAGAAAAAAAAAGCACAAATGAAACAACAAATACTAAAGTGATTTTTTTAAAAATACACACTAACTTAAAAAATTAAGATTTTGTGTCTTTCAAATAAACACACTTCTAAATTTATTTTTAGGGTACATAAACACTAAGGAAGTGTTGATAAAAATCAAAGGGACAAATACAAATTATAAAATTATAATGACCAGAAACTTGTCTGCTAAGTTTTAAGAAATTAAGAGAACACCATGGTTGACCTTTGGTGTCTATCTTAAATGCCATAGTTTCCCTTATATTGTTAATCCATTCATTTTGCTATTTTATCGCAATGACTGTGAAAATACAGCAATGAAATAAGACACAAGTTTGTACTGAGGAATACAGATGCCACAAACCTTCAAGCAAATTTGAAACTGTTGTATCACAATTACCAAATTAGTACAGTCTTAAAAGCGTATCACCAAACAGTAACAGAGAACTTTTTTTCTTTTCCTTTAACCAATTTCTATCCCTGGAGGGATAAATAATGTTTAAGTTGCAAATTCCTTGAAATATAAAATGAAAATGAAGTTCTAATAATCTCAGAATGATATTCAGTAGATACTATTTGACTTTAAACTGATTCTTAAAGTTCAAAATTAGTGAAGCTCTATTATTTTCAGAGACCAATAAACTTAAAAATTTTAATAAATTACACAGCTGTTCATAGATTAGCAAATATAAATTAGCTTAAGAAATTAAAGCTGGCAGTGAAACCCCGTCTCTACTAAAAAATACAAAAAACTAGCCGGGCGAGGTGGCGGGCGCCTGTAGTCCCAGCTACTCGGGAGGCTGAGGCAG